TTTTTTTTTTTTTTTTTTTTTTTTTTTTTAAGATTTTATTTGACAGAAAGAGACACAGCAAGAGCCAGAACAGAAGCAGAGGAAAGAAGCCCACTTCCCGCTGGGCTCCACATGGGGCTCAATCTCAGGACCCTGGGATCATGACCTGGGCCAAAGGCAAATGCTTAATGACTGAGCCATCCAGTCACTCTGTCTTCTGCTTTCCTGAGACCTCCTGAACTGATTAAGATTGAGGCCAAATTAAAAACGCAGATTCCTGGACTCCAAACCAACAAGTTTGACTCAGTAAGAGGTGGGGGATATTCAGATTTCTGCATTTTAGCTAATACCCACGTGATTCCCAGGCAGAAGTCCAAAGACCACCTTTGAAATGCTGTTTGGTAAGGGCATACTTTCTCCTGAGCTGCTTTTTGTTTGATTGATTGGTTGTTGATTGGTTCTCGTGTGGAGAATGAGTCAGCTCATTCCCTTGTTAGAATGAGTTTTAAAAGAATAGGGGAAAAGGACTTAGAGAAAAGTTAAGCTCTGACTAGCTCAGAGTGATGGAGAGAGGGAAAACGAAAGAAGCTGTCAGAGATCAAGAAAAACGATGGAAGCAAAGGGAAGGAGAAAACAGAGCGGTGAGAAGTTCTTTTATAATTTAACAAACCCCGAGCATTTACTGAACGTCAGCACGTGTGCTGCTGGAGATTCAAGGTGAACTGGGGCAGGGGGGCCCACCCTTAGAGAGTTCACAGGCAACAGCGGGCTGAAGGAAGTTGGAAGGTACTGTGGGAAGGCAGAAGGGGCCCCTCACTCTGGTTTGAAGGACTGGGATAAAGCTTCCAGAAGGGATTCTGTATGCTCTGGAGCAGGACGAGTAGTCCAGGAGGTGGTACCCTGGAGGGGGCCAAAGTGCTTCACAGCAAATATATTCTATTTAGTTTTAAGTATTTTTTCCTATTTACAAAAATCATATATGTTTGTTACGAAGCAACTTATTAGCACAGGAAACTGAAAACCTCTTATAATCCTCCCGGCTACTGTTTACCTCCCATCCCTGTGGGGATTACCAGCCCGGAGTTTGGGGACTCAGTGGCACTGAAGTTCTGTTACCGCCTGGCGAAGTCCGGCATCGGTCCTCCCGCCAGCAGGGGACAGTGCAACGCACGCCTTGAGCTGGCGCGGTCTCTCTTTCACACGTCGCTCGCGTGATCGTCAGTGCTACATACTGCGCCTGCGCACGAGCCGAGGCCTTTTCCCGCAGCCGAGTGTTGCTGGGCCTGCTGGTCTGTGGCGAGCCGCGGACGCCGGTCTCTGGTCCGCAGGATGGTAAGTCGTTACTGGGGAGTCTGGGCTACATCTGCACGCGGGTTCCCTGTCCTTCCCCAAACGCCAGCGTAGGGTCCGTCTCGCACGGTGCAGGGGATGGATGGCGTTGGATTGAGGGTTCTGCTGTGGTAGGGCTGCCGCTCCCAGCGTGGCCTTAATGGCTGCCGCCGGCCGCGCAAACTTTGGGGGGAGGGGTTGACAGAGAAGATCAGGAGCTAGGGCGGCGGATTGGGGAGGGGGCATGAATTAAGTTGACAAGTTTAGGGGATAATACCGGCTCATCCGACCTGGCACCGGCAGTGGGGAGGATTGCATGCAGTTGGTCTCATACTGGGGGTGGGGTGGGGGGAGGAGATGCCTGAGTGGAGATGGGCTGCGGCTCTCCGGACTCAGACACCACTGACTTGTTTCCATGGTTTTTTCGGGAGAGTGTGGGGTTGGTGGGTCTTTAAAAGTGGCTTTTAAACCTAGCAGTCAGCCTGGAGGCTGTGGCTTATCTGGGCCCCGAAAGAGAACTCATTTAGTTTGGTATGTGCTTCCTATCTCTTTCTCTAGACTCTTGTTGCACCAGTTTTTAATGATTTTTGGGATGGGGTGTGTTGCTTTGATAGGTGGGAAACGATGCTGATTTAATCGGAAGTAATTGCCAAATATGCTCTTGACCAGATGAGTTTCGTGGCAAGTGGTTTAGGCTTTGGAAAAACGTGCGTGAACTGTACGAGGGAAATTGGAGGTTAGGTTTCCAGACTGGGACATGGAGTGTTCAGAACAGACTGACGTTAGGCGAGATTGATTGCTGTCTAGACCAGCGCTTTGGAAAAGTGACTGATGGGAAGTAGAAAAGGTGATTCTTGACCCCCTGTGTTTTGAGAAACTGGACTCCACAAAAGTGACAGTTGAAGGGGTTCACTTTTGAAGTTAAAGTGTTACTTTGTTATGCAGTTAACTCAGATGACAAAAATATAAACAGTTTATCAAAGTTTTAATAACATTCTTTTTTTCTTAAAGGGGTTTGTGAAGGTTGTCAAGAATAAGGCTTACTTCAAGAGATACCAAGTGAAATTTAGAAGACGTCGAGGTATGGTCACTTACTCATGTTCACAATTTTTGGAGAATCTGCAGTGGAATAGACTTTTCTTAAGTTATTTTTTCTTTCAGAGGGTAAAACTGATTATTATGCCAGGAAACGCTTGGTAATTCAAGATAAAAATAAGTACAACACACCTAAATACAGGATGATAGTTCGTGTAACCAACAGAGATATCATCTGTCAGGTAAGTTGTATTCTAAATTCAAGCAATGAGTGGTTACCTCACCTTTTTAACTCACTGCTGGAGAAGTTGTACTTAAGCAAAGCATGTATGGATTAAAAGGTCCCTCTAGTGCCTGGCATTCTAAAAACATTGAGTAGTACTTTTCATTTTAGTAGGTCTGAAGTTGGAGCTTGAGTGGGGAGGGTGGTACTTGAAAATACTCTACTGAAAATCAGCCATGTGTGGCAATCTTGACCAAAGTAGTTTAGTCTTGTTTTCTAATGGGCAGGAAGAGGATTGGAGAAATCTAGGCTACCATGCTATTTTATAGGGGTAAGAGGATAAATTTGAGGCCAAGTAGAAGGTTCTTGCACATTGCAGTTCTAGTAGAATAACAAATTGTCACAGACTAAATCCTGACCTGCTGTACATAGCCTTATGTGCCATATAACCATTCCTTATTGAAGAGGTAGGTAGTTGTGAAGTTTTAATTAGGCTCTTAAGATTGTTTTTATTCCTGCCTCCCTTTGAAATAGGTTTGATACATAAGTATGAAGGTTTCTCCCACAAAAAAAGACCTCTACAAAGTGGCAGTTAGTTCCTAGAAATGAGTTTTCTGGGCTTTTACAACTAGAGTAAATTTTCACAGTTAAGATTTTTTGAGTCTTTGCAGGGGGCAGGCACACCTGTTTTCTGGGCAGACTAATTTTTTGGTTGTGAAGACAATGTGTTCCTTCATACCTGAGTTCAGATAAGTAAACAGTGTCAGAAACATTGGACTTTGATATGCGTAGTTCAGAAGATATTTGAAATAATCAGATTTCTTTCTGACTTTTCACTGTGCCTCTTTGATTTATTGGCTGATGCAGCTAAGAGTCTATTTTCAGTATTATTAGGAACAACAGTCCCTAACTTACTCAAAGGCATTTCAATGTTTACAGTCTATATGGTAATTTTAGCTCTGTTTGCGATATTATGACATACATTTACAGAAGTAGTTGACCAAGCCATAAACTCATTGAGTGGGTTTAATAAAGACAGATGCTAAGTGTTGCAGATTTGTTTCCCACTGGTTTTTTTTTTTTTTTTAAGTCCTTTGAAAAAGAAGGCACCTAGAATAAGTAAGCAAACAGTTGAAAGCACAGGTGACTAACCTGTTGTTTCTCTTACAGATTGCTTATGCCCGCATAGAAGGAGATATGATAGTTTGTGCAGCTTATGCTCATGAACTCCCAAAGTATGGTGTGAAAGTTGGCCTGACAAATTACGCTGCAGCATATTGTACCGGCCTGCTGCTGGCCCGCAGGGTATGTAGAAGATATCTTTAAGTAGTATATTTTGGACATAGCTCATTGTTTGGAGTTGTCTGCAAGGTAGATGTTGATACATGAGGAAGATACCCTCAGCTGTGGCTTCTCAGGAGTGTCTGCTGTTGAGCTGTTGCTTGTGGGGTCATCAGGAAGGACAGCTTTATAAGTACAGAATTTGAGACAGCAGTGCATTTTCTAATACTCTGATGAGGTAATTTTTCTGGTTTTTTTGTTTGTTTTTGTTTTTTTGCATTGTTGAGTAGGTCTAGATCAGTGGAATCTAAACCAAAGAATGATAGCCACCAGCCACATGTGGGTGTTGAACACATGAAATGTAGCTAATACTACTGAGGCACTGAATTTTTACCTTAATTTGAATAGCCATTTCTGGCTAGTTAGATACCTTGACTTTGCAGACCTTTGCTACTTAGAAGTATAGATCTTCTGTCAATCAGTGTACATTTAAAATGCAGACTTTACACCCTTGGAATCTGTGTTTTAATAGGATGTCCAGGTTATTTATATACATGTTAAAGTTTGAGAAACAATGTCTTAACCCACTGAGCCACCCAGGCACCCCTACAATGTCTTAAATTTGGGTTGGGGGTTAGCCATGGGTAATGGATTTGGTTTTGTTTTAATTATCTTTGCCTCTGGGTGGCAGCATTTCCTATAATATGCAGGAAGATGGAAATGTGATTTTGTCTTATTTTTGTTTTTTTGTTACTTTGTTTTTCTTTATTTGTATTTATTTATTTGTTATTTTATTTATTTTTATTTTGTTTTCTCAAGTTACTTGACCTTGTTTTGTATTGGAATTGTTACACATGCATTGTTGTTAGGGACTATATCTTCATTGATTGTAAACACATTTGGGTAAGAGTGGGGAACAATGTCATACGTGAGAGGAACATTGTATGTAAGTCACACTGTAAGAAACAGTAGTTAGGTGTACTGGCAGAAGATTCACCCTTACTAACTTAATGTAGTTGGAGAGTAGAGCCATAAAAAATGTTCTCTTATGCCCAGATGCTTCTAAGATTTTAATCAAATTACATGTGGTAACATTTAATACTTGGTTCTTGAGTTACTGTAGCCAAATAGGACTGAGGAAATATGGAAAATAAATTTCTTGAATAGATATGGTTACATCTTAATTGATTACTGCATAAATCAAATATGGACATGTAGGAAAGATACAGAAACTATAAGACAAAGGGGTGGTGAAATTGAATATTTGAAGATTGTTTTTGTAGCATCTTAGTACTTAAAAGTAAATTAGTACAGAGGGTTAAGTGAATTTTGAAGGAAAATTTTTCTAGGTGTCAGGTCATTAAAGTTGTGACTTTTTTTAAAGATTTTATTTATTTATTTGACAGAGAGGGAACACAAGCAGGGGGAGTGGGAGAGGGAGAAGCAGATGCCCTGATAAGCAGGCATCCCGATGCAGGGCTCTATCCCAGGACCCTGCGATCATGACCCTATCCGAAGGCAGATGCTCAGTGACTGAGCCACCCAGGCGCCCCTAAAGTTGTGACTTGATAATGTTAAAATTATTTGAATATATTTAGACTGGCTTTTTTGTTAATAGCTCCTTAATAGGTTTGGCATGGACAAGATCTATGAAGGCCAAGTGGAAGTGACTGGAGATGAATACAATGTGGAAAGCATTGATGGTCAACCTGGTGCCTTCACCTGCTATTTGGATGCAGGGCTTGCCAGAACTACTACTGGAAATAAAGTTTTTGGGGCCCTCAAGGGAGCAGTGGATGGAGGCTTGTCTATCCCTCACAGGTAATAAGAGTATTCAAGTCTTCATTGTTTGGACTGCCAGTATTTCCATTTCTAACTGGTTAGACTTTGGAGATTACTGGATGAATCAATTAAATTAGTACGTAGCTATCCTTGTGTATCTTGTGTACCTGCTATATGCTTCGTACTCTACAAAAGGAACCTGGCAGGGCAGGATGGGATTGTAATGTGTTTTATAAATGAGATTGAGGTTCAGAGGTAAAGGATTTGTTCAAAGTTTTGGAGCCAGTAGTGGGAAAGCAGGGATTGAAACAACTAGCTTTTGTGTTGTAGCTTAGTTTTGGTTAGAAATGAGCACCTCAAGTCCATCCCCTCCCAGTGTATTTTCTTTTCTTTTCTTTCTTTCTTTTTTTTTTTTTTTTTTAAGATTTTATTTATTTATTTGACAGACAGTGATCACAAATAGGCAGAGAGAGAGGAGGAAGCAGGCTCCCTGCCGAGCAGAGAGCCTAGTGCGGGGGCTCAATCCCAGGATCCTGGGATCATGACCTGAGCTGAAGGCAGAGGCTTTAACCCACTGAGCCACCGATGCACACCCGCCCCCGCCCCGCCCCCCCCGCCCCGTGTATTTTCTTTTCATTCAGAATGAAAGTTGGTTTACTCATTTATGGGAACTCTCAGCTCTAGAAAAAAAGTTTGAGAAAAGGCGTATGACAGCTCTCAGCTGGAAATAAGATTGTAGACCATTCTCAGAAGTTGAGTAGGTTTGAATTTGTTAATTCCTAGGTTTTGAGTTAATGGTTTTTGTTCTTGTTGAGTAGATGCATCTTAAAAAATAATTAATTAGCTTCTTAGGGATATTTTAGAGGTTGGTGAATCCTTAACAAAAATATTAGGTTTTGGGTTGGGGAGGTTAGCCTTTAAAATGTAACCTAACTGGAACTTCTGTAATGGTGGGGCATATTTTTTTGAGGACCTGCATGTCTCTTGCAAGACACCTGTCAGATGTGGTCTTCAAAAAATCACTTATTCCCATGTGCCCTGAGGCAGCACTGAGAAATTCTAGGATTTGGAGGGAGCAGTTTTGAAACCCTTTCTTGTGTTTATAAGGAGAACTCATTTTAGTGGTGGAAACTTGGTACATTTCATGGCTTTAAATGTACTTGTAGCATGATTTTCTCTTCTATCTTGGAATTCAGAGATAAGCTGCTGAATGATGATATCCCACTAACTGAGCAGTCAGTAGTTGGTCCTTTGGTTGCATATGATGCAATTAATTGTTTCAAGACGGGACTGATGGCAGCTACTGAAACATTCCGGTTAGTGAACGGATTTTAATCCTTATAATACTAAAATATGAAAAATTTTATTTTAGTACCAAACGATTCCCTGGTTATGATTCAGAAAGCAAGGAATTCAATGCCGAAGTACATCGAAAGCACATCATGGGTCAGAATGTTGCAGATTATATGCGTTACCTAATGGAAGAAGACGAAGATGCATACAAGAAACAATTCTCTCAATACATAAAGAACAACGTAACTCCAGACATGGTAAAAATTTTAACTAAAAATGCCTGTATTAGTTAATTTAGAGGTTTTTTTTTTTTTCGTTAAGACTTTATTTATTTGACATTATAAGTAGGCAGAGGGGCACATGGTGGGGTGGGAGGAGCAGGCTCCCTGCTGAGCAGAGCTCTTAGTGCTGGCTCTATCCCAAGACTGAGACCATGACCTGAGCGGAAAGCAGACACCTAACCCACCGAGCCACCCAGGCTGCCCCAATTTATAGGTTTACTACTTGATTTTGGTGGGTTTATTAGTAGTTTTATTTTGGGTTAATAGTTAAAGGTTGAACATGAGTATGTTAATAGGTATAGATAGACTTAAATAAACAATTCTTATCTTAAAATGGAATGAGATGAAGTTGGGATATTGAGTGAGGGTAAGTTAAAAGTCAAATAGGGTAATTGTAAAGAACTAGACTTACCAACATGCTTTTAGGAATTTTTTAGGTACTAAAGGCCTCAAGGATCTAAATATGAAGCCTTTGGTGGCTTTTACATATTTGACTATTCTAAATCTGTAGACTTAATTCCTGTGGTCATAGTTAGAATCATGTGTCCTGTCTGATAAAAGATTCTAGTTAACTCATTTTGAAGCCATGTGGAAGAAAGGTTCTTTTTAGCAAATAAGTTCTATGTTAACGGAATTTCTGAATGTCTCAGCGTGGATGTAGGGAGTTGTACAGATTAGATCACTAGTTCTCCTTGATGTTGCAAATGTGAGTTTAATGTTGGAAATTTTATCAGCTTAAAGTTGTTTTTTTTTTTTTTTTTTAAGATTTTGTTTATTTATTTGTCATAGAGAAGCGAGAGCGAGCACAGGCAGACAGAGTGGCAGGCAGAGGCAGAGGGAGAAGCAGGCTCCCTGCCAAGCAAGGAGCCCAATGTGGGACTCGATCCCAGGACGCTGGGATCATGACCTGAGCCGAAGGCAGCTGCTTAACCAACTGAGCTACCCAGGCGTCCCTAAAGTTGTATTTTTAAGACTGACTATTAACGCACTGTAGTCATGGAAGATAGGCATAGAACACAAAAATAGCATTGATTTTTATAAAACTTGTACACAACTATGGAGTTGTAAATAAATTAATAGTTACCTATCAAATGACTGTTATGTTAGTGCACAGTTTCTATTTTCACACTGCTTTGGTTATGAAAAACAAATTTCTTTGAGTGAGTGAGTGCATAGTGGGGGAGGGGCAGAAGGCATCCGGCATGGGGGGGCCTCAGTCTCATGACCCTGGGATCATGACTGAGCCATCCAGGCACCCTGTGAAAATTGTTCTTAAAATGAGTTATAATTGGAAAAGATCCCTTTGTTATTTGTATGCTTAGTACAGTCTAGGGCTAATAAACACATAACTTGAGTTTTTTTTGAGCTAGGAAAAGGGTAGTATGCCATTAGTTTATATTAGTAAATGCAAGTGCATGTTAGTTTTCAGAAACCCATATTTGTATATTATTTAATTGCCCTTGTTCACTCTGGTAAATAGGACTTTTACTTGTGATTATAATTCTGTTTGGCCTGCATAATTTTTCTTCCTAAGACCTCTCTTGCTCTGGTAATGTTGAACTTGTTCAGAAACTTCAAAATCTCAAGCTGCTTTCAGATAGCCATTTTCTAATGCTTTCCTATATATTTGATATATTTCAGCTGGACCACTCTTAGGCTGATGTACTTTTCCTGGCTAGCTCATCAGTTTGATCTTTGGAGGCCTCTTATGCATGCCTGCTAAACTCCTCTGCTGACATCTGACATGTCTCCAAGAGGAAAGTGGTCTTCACTTAAAACTCAGTGCTATTATCTACATACATGGTTGTGAATCCTGTTTGTCTCTTAGGAAGGAATGGACCGAGTTGCTTAGATTTATTAAATGACTACATTTGACATCATCAAATGGACTCGTTAAATACAGTGGAAAGCCATAATAGAGTGCAGAGGTAGAGAAATTAATTTTCAGGAGGGATTTAGGTAGTTGAGGTCTCATGCAATGTTTGCATTATTTTCATTTGCTAAGTTTTACACAGATGCATGTAGTAATCACATTTTCTCTATGTTGAAGGAGTAATTTTAGAGTTGGGATTACTTTATTTTTTAGGGGCATGTAATTGCTACTAGATTGGGATAGTGAACGTTCAGGTATTTTATAGCTGCTTCAAGACTTGATCTTCCATAGAATCAATAGTCATTATTTAGAGGTGGTACTTGAAGTAATTCAGAGAATTTCAGCATTGGTTTTTGATGAGTTTTAGAACAAAATTCTCTTTAAGATCTAATTGGATGGTGTTTGGGGGTTTTCTGGGGCAATTCAAACTTTCTGTTCCCACAGACACCTAGTAGTAGATACAAGAGGTCCCTGGTATGCAGTGCTGGGAGTAGCATTGGAAGACCTGTCAGATACTGATGGAAAATACAAATCTGGGAAATATGGGAGAACAAAAATGAATTTATAGCAATTCTTTGTACTCTTCCCTATATACTCTTCCTCTTACCATCTTAAGTACTTTGTTTTGGCACAAATCCTCACTTGAATAAAAGAATTTAGGTCAGATAATACTTAAATGAACATAAATGTTTTTACAGAAACCCATTTGCTCTCAACTTGAGTGACTCAAAGTATAGCTGAATTCCTCAGAAATACATGCAAATTTTTGAGTGAGTTTTGTGAATAGTGTCAGTTCACATTGCCAATGGTAATTTCTTAAGAAAATGTGGGTTACATGTAGAATTTAAATTGATACCAGGGTTGACCTAGTTCCTTTTGACAGTCTGGTTTAGGGATAAAAATAGAACAAGTAGTAGACGTGCACATTATATGACTGTTAGGGCATGTGAAATGAAACCAAGTACTGTTTGCTTTGCTTTCTTTCAGATGGAGGAGATGTATAAGAAAGCTCATGCTGCTATACGAGAGAACCCAGTCTATGAGAAGAAGCCTAAGAAAGAAGTTAAAAAGAAGAGGTATGCATCTTACTGTTGCCTTTTCAAGAGAAAGGTTAAAAGGAGTTCCTTACCTTGTTTCTTCTTATTCACACTCTCATTGAAGTTGTGCAAACTCGATCACTAGCTCTGCATGATGTTGCAGAAGTGAGGGGAACCAGGTTTGCTAAAGCAATTGTGGTGATAGAAATTTATTAGCCTCAGAAGATACTTACTGAGCTGACCTATTCTATCCCAGTACAGTATAACTACCAATTACTGCATTTAAACATTTTATTGTTTTTTTTGTTGTTGTTGTTTTACCAGTTACTCCATTTTTAAAGTTAGATTAAGATCATAAATAAGTATGTATATTAGAACTTGGATTGTTTGACCTGATCACAGTCTTTTTCAATCAGAGTTAACTATTTTCTATCCTCTGTAGCGGTGATATTTAAAAATTACATTTATCTCTTTATTTTACTTTGTTTTGTAGGTGGAATCGTCCCAAAATGTCTCTTGCCCAGAAGAAAGATCGGGTAGCTCAGAAGAAGGCAAGCTTCCTTCGAGCTCAGGAGCGGGCTGCTGAGAGCTAATAAACCAAACCACAATTTTCTATGAAGATTTTTCAGATAAAGGCAATAATAAACTTATTCATCAAGCAGCTATCTGTGTTAAACTCTTAATTAATGAAACTGTAGGAAATAACCTGAAATACAAAAGGAGAGGAGTTGACAGGTTTTTTTTTTCTTTGAGAAACAAGTATGACTTAACATACTGACTCAAAGTTCACACCTGCTTCTCAGTCTTGTTTTCCCTGACAGGAGTTATCCCTCTGGTTGTATGATGTGCAGCCCTCCCGAAATAAGTCTGGCAAGCAAGAGACCAACTGTGCACTAGGAAATGTTTCTTCCATTCATTTATTGTAACCAGATGGCTGGTGGGAAGAAAAAGTACCTTCAGAGTAAACAATTTTTTAAAAAGCAAAACTGGTGCTAATCAATGGCTTTAATTTTTGAGAGAAAGCGGTTTCAGTGAAGTTCACATAACTAACATTCACTTCAATCAGGTGAAACTTTTGAGCAGAATATATTGGGTCTTCAAAAGAGGTGTTCTATTTTATGGAGATGTTGAAAGGTACATGCCAGATCTTAACATAAAAATAACATTAAAGGGCAAATAATAACTTGCATATCAAGTTCACATGAAAAAAATTTACATGCCTCTTAAGAAATAGCCCTTTGGCCAACAGGAAATACTGTTCAAAAATGGAAAATTGTTACTAGAAAGTTCCATGGTTTCAGAGTCTGGCTCCTAATGTCCCACTTCTCCATAGCTCAAATTCAGATAAATGGATCTGGATTGGGTTGATGGCCTTAAGAATGTCCGTTTTGAAGGACTGAGCTCATGGACACTAAGAAGGACCCATCAAATCTAGGATGATGAAAGCTCATCCAGTTTCAGCCTCTAAAATTTGCAATTAAATATTGCCAAGTAGAACATGTTTTGATGGATTTTTAATTTTAAGAGGCTAATAATCATTCAAAACATTCTGAAGCCATTTAACATTTGATGTCTAAATGTTTAAGTCTATAAATAAAACAAACCATGCTATTAACCCAACATCTGTTTATAAGTAACTACCTGCTTTGCAGTCTTAATTTCTGTTAATGTGCAAACTTTACCATGCTAAGACTTCAGTAAATATAATTTCTTTTTTTAAACAGCAGCTTCAATGTTTCAATGCAAACAATTCCAGCAATGGTATTTTGGCTAACAAATCTACAAAATACTTGCACTGTTAATGTTTATGGAATGAGGATTTCACAGCATTATTTTAGGTCATGAGTCAAAATAGTTACACAGTGAATGTACTGGAAAATCTACCAGGGCTTCCAATAGGAATGAAATCTTTGGACCTGTTCATCCTATACTTCCTGCCATTACTTCAGCAATCAATATGTATCTCAAGATGATGACTTCTTAAAACCAGGGGAAAGGGGTTTGTGTAACTGGCAAGGATTTGAATCAGAAGCCATCTTTTTTTTAAATGCTCAAAATTTTTCCTTAGAATTGTTTCCTATAATCACAATGTCCAAATGAATTAAGAGTCATTTGTATAGGAAATTTTCTTCCACAGTAATGTTTTTAGGTTATTTAGTATCAAAGAATGTTCCATTTCCATTTGATTTGCTGTGACTTTGAGAGCAATACAAGAATAAAGTTGCTTTTCCAGTTCCTCACGAATTTCACTTGGAGCACCACGCAGTAGGTAGTCTTTGAGTAACTGACAGGCTTTTGCTAAGTTGGGTTGTATCACTTCTGAAGTACACTTCATTGTACTCTGATCACAGCTAGTTCGACAATCAGTGCCATAAACACAGTCCAAATCAGACTCACAGTGGCGATCCTTTATAATTTCTTTCAGGTTTGTCTCTGGCACAATTTTTCTCATGTCCACCATTTTCAAATCATACTTATCGTTATAACCTAGGTTTTTGGCACTAATATCACACATTAGGAAGTTTCCATAGGGGCCGTGGAAAACATCTTCCACAAATTCTAGGAGTCCTATGGCTATTTTAGCCTTTCTAGGCCATGATGGTGTGAACAGCTGATCCATGCTTCTTCTGAACCCAGATGGAATAAAAAGTTCAATGACCCATGGAAGGCTTATTCCATAAAGAGAGGTATATTCAACACTTTCCATCACATAAAGATCACCACAGAATCCCATTAATTTGGGGGTATGTTCTTTATCTTGAAGTATCACCATGAGAAGAAATTCATTTAGTTGAAGAAGTGCCCATGCTGACTTTGCTTCTCCCAAGGAAACCTGGCCATCTTTGTCTCCATCAGCCACCGTCAAGATGAGATTAACCAGTTCAGAGAGATTTCCTTGGTCACCCAACTTTGCCTAAAACGGTTAAGAATTTAGCCAAATACAGGTTTGAAAAATTGCTCATATGTAATATACATACTAACTTTATGGGGATTACCATGCTAAGTAATCTTGTTACTGAGTCTCCATAAAGGAACTTAATACATCTCCAAATATTTATGATGCTTACTGAGTTAATTAGAAGTATGTTTTATATAGTTGTAGTAAAGCCGACTTAAGTATATTTAAGAAATGGGCCACCCTAGCTCCCATAGCTCCCTGGGCCCTGTTGATATCCAACACACAAATTATTCTGTCTTATTCATACATTGACTTGCAAAATTGCCGTGTAATGTGCTCATGTCTGAAGTTATAATAACGGTCAAATAAGGTCTGAAGTTACAAGTTGTAATAAGGGTCAAACAGGAGAAAATTATTTTCTCCTGTTTTGTAGTCAATACATTAACAACTGTTTTCTTCAAATTGTATTGTTCCAATGGTGGTTAAAAAATATGTCCCTGTGAAGTTTCTTAAGATAAAATAGTACGAAAATGTAAAATTAAAAGTAAGATTTTGAGTGAAAATATGACACCAAAAAAAGATTCTTGGGGCGCCTGGGTGGCTCAGTAGGTTAAGCCTCTGCCTTCAGCTCAGGTGGGGCTCTCTGCTCAGCAGGGAGCCTGCTTACACACACACACACACACACACACACACACACACACACACACCCGCCTGCCTCTCTGCCTCCTTGTGATCTCTCTGTCAAATAATAAAATCTTTAAAAAAAAAAGATTCCAATATCATAAATTTTTTCTTTAATATATTTAATCTTTGAGTATTTCTTTAAATTTTTTAAAATAGTTTTCAGTCAGGACATATATACTAATTTTAGCCCTTCCCCACCTTTTAAAAAGTGTGTATCAGGTACAGTGTCAAACTATACAGCTGCTCATCTACTTAACTCCTCTTTCATATCTGGACATCTTTAGCTAGCATAAATAATGTTAATGTAAGCATCCTCCTCAGATTTTGTTTGAATTTTTTCCTCAAGATGGAGTCCTGGGTATAAGTTAAAGAATAGCAACATTTTTATGGTTTAGGATGAGGTCTTGCTAACTCTTTCAGAAGAATGTACCACTTCACACTAGCAACATGTGAATAGATAAATACTTACTTTAAAGAGACTGTAGACCATTTCTTTGAATTTCTGTACGGTAGTTCCCCTAGTTGGCTTATCAAATAGCACTATTTCTTTCCTTGGTTCCAATTCAGTCCCAAAATCAAGATGAAGTGCTTGTTCCATTTGACATTTCACAACACCTGGCAGATTACCCCAAATCCCTAAATACATCTACGTGAAAAAAGAATGACAAATTAGTCCTTAGGCTGAGCAGAAAACTTTACCGTGTATTTTTAGTGTTTTCTTCCTCTTACAAAAACACACAAACAAGTAACAAAACATTGAGATTTAGCTTTTTTCTGTAACTTTTAAATTATAAAAGTAATTCATGCCTAAATAAACGTATTTTTGACCATGATCAATTTTATTTTTTCCAATTTATTATAAAATATTAAAAACATAGAATTTACCATCTTAACCATTTTTAGAGTACACCTTATTACATTCACAATGTTGTGCAGCCATCACCACTATCCTTTTGTAGCACTCTTCATCTTGTAAAATTGAAACTCTATACCTATTAAATAACTCCCTGTTCCCCTTTCCCACCCCCCAGCCCCTGGCATCACCATTTTACTCTCTATCTTTATAATTTTGACTTCTTTAAGCATCTCATATAAATGGAACCACACAAAATTTGTCTTTTTGTGATTGACTTATTTCACTGAACATTATGTTCTCAAGATACAGACAGTTGCATGTGTCAGAATTTTCTCCTTTTTAAAGCTGAATAATAGTTCATTGTATGGCTAAACCACATTTTGCATTTCTATTCATCTGCTAATGGACCCTTGGATGCTTCCCTGTTTTAGCTATTGTGAATAATGCTGACCTGAACTTGGGTGTAAGAATATCTTTTGGAGACTCTGCTTTCAATTTTTTTAGATATGTATCCAGAAGTAAAATTGCTGGATCATAAGAACAGTATATTTTTAATATTTTGAGGAACTGTTTTTTTCAGTGGCTGTTTTACATTCTCACCAACAGTGCAAAAGGGTTCCAATTTCTCTCCATCCTTGTCAACACTTGTTAATTTCCATTTTTTGACAGTAGCCATCCTACGTGTATGAAATGGTATCTCACTGTGATTTTGATTTGTATTTCCCTCACGATCAAGTGATGCTGAGCATCTTTTCATATACTTATTGGCCATTTGTGCATCTTTTTCTAAGAAATGCCTATTTAAGTATTTTGCACATTTTAAAATCTGGTAGTTTTCTTGTTGAGTTATAAGAGTTCTCTCTTTCTTTTTTTTCTTAGTAAACTCTACACATATTGGGGCACAAATTCATGACCCTGTGATCAAGAGTTGCATGTTTTACCAACTGAGCCAGCCAGGTGCCCCAGGAGTTCTCTATATATTCTAGATATATTTTTTAAAGATTTTATTTATTTATTTGACAGAGAAAGATCACAAGTAGGCAGAGAGGCAGGCAGAGAGAGAGGGGGAAGCAGGCTCCCTGCTGAGCAGAGAGCCTGATGCAGGCTCAATTCCAGGACCCTGCGACCATGACCTGAGCAGAAGGCAGAGGATTAACCCACTGAGCCATCCAGGCACCCCTATATATTCTAGATATTAATCCCTATTGGATATATGATTTGCAAATATTTTCTCTCATTCTGTAGATTGGATATTCTTTTGATGTACAAAATTTTTAAATTTTCATAAAGTACAATTTGTCTCTTCTTCTTTTGTTGCTTGTGCCTTTGGTATCAGAGCCAAGAAATGCTTACTAAATCCAATGTCATGAAGATTTTACCCTATATTTTTTCTAGGAGTTTTATGCTTTTAGTTCTTACATTTAAGTCTTTGATCTGTTTTGACTTGATTTTTACATATAGTATTAGGTAAGGGTCCCACTTTGTTCTTTTGCATGTGGATATCCAGTTTTCCCAGCATGGTCTGTTGAATAGACAGTCCTTGGGGTGCCTGGGTGGTTCAGTGGGTTAAGCCTCTACCTTCGGCTCAGGTCATGATCTCAGGGTCCTGGGATCGAGCCCTGAATCAGGCTCTCTGTTTGGCAGGGAGCCTGCTTCCCCCTCTCTCTCTGCCTGCTTGTGATCTCTCTGTCAAATAAATAAATACCATCTTAAAAAAAAAAAAAAAAAAGACAGTCCTTTCTCTATCGAATGGTCTTAGCACTCTTGTCAAAAATCATTTGACCAGGGGAACCTGGGTGACTCAGCGGGTTAAGCCTCTGCCTTCAGCTCAGGTCACCATCTCAGGGTCCTGGGATCAAGCCCCGCATCGAGCTCTCTGCTTGGCAGGGAGCCTGCTTCATCTCTCTCTCTGCCTGTCTCTCTGCCTACTTGTGATCTCTCTCTCTCTCTCTCTGTCGAATAAATAAATAAAATCTTTAAAAAAAAATCATTTGACCAAATACGTGAGAGCTTATTTCTGGGTTCTCTATTCTATTGATCTGTATGTCTGTCTTCATTCTAGTACATACTGTTTTGATTACTGTAGCTTTGTAGTAAGTTCTGAAATCAGGAAGTATGAGTCCTCCAGCTCTATAGTACTTTTTCATGACTGTTTTGCTATTTGGTGTCCTTTGAGATTCCATTTTGGGCAGGTTTTTCTATTTCTACAAAAAAAGTCTTCAGAATTTTGATAGGGATTTCACTGAATCTATAGATCAATTTGGGTAGTATTAACGTTTAACAATACTAAGTCTTCCAATCCATGAACATGGGATATGTCTCCATTTGTTTATAGCTTTAATTTCTTTCAGCAATGCTTTGAAGTTTTCATTGTACAAGTCCTTCACCTTCATTGTACACTTTCATTGTACAAGTCCTTCCCCTGGTTAATTCCTAAGTACTTTATTCTTTTTGATACTACGTAAATGGAATGGTTTTCTTTTCTTTCTTTTCTTTACTTTCTTTCTTTCTTTCTTTTTTTCTTAGATTGTATGTATGTATGTATGTGAGACAGAGAGAGAGAGCACAAGCAGGGAAGAGAGGGAGAAGCAGGCTCCCCAAGAGCAGGGAACTCAATGCAGGGTTTGATCCCAGGAACCCTGTGATCAAGATCTGCGCTGAAGGCAGATGCTTAATGGACTGAGCCTCCCAGGTGCCCCGGAATGGTTTTCCTAATTTTCTTTGTGGATTGTTCATTGTTACTATACGGAAATACAACTGATTTTTGTGTGTTGACTTTGTTTCCAGCTACTTTGCTGAATTCATTTATTAGCTATAAGAACTTTTTCCTACATAGATAAAAGGTTTTTCTACCCTCCATAAAATGTTTTTCTACCTCCCATGGTCTACATAAAAGATCATGTCATCTGCAAACAGATATAATTTTATTTTTTCCTTCCTAATTTGGGTGCCTTTTATTTATCTTTCTTGTCTAACTGATTTGGCTAGAACATCTAGTATTATGTTGAATACAAGTGGCAAAAGTGGGCATCTTTGCCTTGTTCCTGATTTTAGAGGAAAAGCTTTCAGATTTTCACAACTGAGTACGATATTAGCTATGGGTTTTTCATATGTATATTTTATTATGTTGAGGTAGTTGCCTTCTATTCCTATTTGTTGAGTGTTTTTATCATAGGAGTGTACTGAATTTTGTAAATACTTTTCCTGCTTCAACTGAGATGATCCTGTGGATTTTCCCCCCTTCATTCTATTGATCTAGTGTACTAAATTGACTTTTGTATGTTGAACCATCCCAGCATTCCAGGAATAAATCCCATTTGGCTGTGGTATATGATCTTTTTAATATGCTCAATTTGGTTTGGTAGTATTTTGTTGAATATTTTGCATTAATGTACACGAAGTCTGTAGATTTCTTTCCTTGTTCAAGTGTCTTTAGCTGGGTTTGGTATCACGGTAATGCTGGCCTCACAGAATGAGTCAGTAAGTATTCCTTCCTTTTTAGTTTTTGGAAAAGGTTGAGAAGGACTTAAATGTTTGGTAGAATCCACCAGTGAAGGCAACAGGCTCACAGCTTTTCTTGTTGGGAGACTCTTGATTACTGATTTAATCTCCTTATTAGTGATAGATCTATTCAGATTTTCTATTTCTTGCTAAGTTTTCTGTTTCTAGAATTTGTCCATTTTGTCTAGGTTACCTAACTTGTTGGTGTACAATTGTTCATAGTACTCTCATGTAATCCTTTTTTTTCTGTAGAGTCAGTAGTAATGTCCCCACTTCATTCCTGATTTTAGTAATTTGAGCCTTCTCTTTTTTTCTTTGACCATCTAGCTAAAGGTTTGTCCATTTTGTTGCTCTTTCCCAAGCTTTTGGTTTCATTGATTTTTCTCTATTGTTTTTCTATTCTCCATTTCATTTATCTCTTGTGTAAACTGTATTATTTATTTCCTTCTGCTAGATTTGGGTTTAGTTTGTTCTTTTTCAAGTTCCTTAAATTGTAAAGTCAGCTTGTTGATTCGAGATCTTTCTTGTTTCTTAATTAAGCATTTATAGCTACAAATACATTTTTTAAGTCACATTACACAGAAAGATGAAAGGCAAAACTCTTCTGTTTCCATTTCCCTAATACCATACCCTAGAATTAGTCATTATTAATTAATATAAGATCCACGAGGGAAGTAATCTATCTTAATCATCACTGAATTCCTAATAACTAAACAGTGTCTGGAATATACTGGGAATAAGGGATTAATAATCAACATCTGTTGGATGAGTGAATCAAAGCATACAAAATTGAAGTATATAAATCCTAACGCTCTGGTTCAAGAATTCTAACAATACTTCATTTTAAGGTAAAATTAGAGTGCACTATCATTCTGGAATGTTTATTTGTAAATAACCATACCTGATTGCTGGGCTTGGTGGATAAGCATTTCCCAAAGTAAAGAGTTTCTGTAACACAAAGGCTATTACATGCAGGCCCATCAATAACTCCAGTCTTGTACTTGTCACACTAAGAGCCAGGAAACAAAAAAGTAGTTAATAGAAAAATGTTATAAAAAGAAACAATAAACAATGTAAGGAGATATCTGTATTCTTTAAGATGAAGTTCTATGATGAAAAGAACTCAGGCTCTGGATTTGGACAGACCTGAATTTGAATCCAAGCTCTGTCCTTACCAGCTATATGATGATGAAAGACCTTGCTGGGACTAGGGTGTGCACAGAATTTGGAAGCTATTTTTCCCCCTTAACATGGTCTGAGGTGGTATGATACCTGGTCTCCCTAAGATTAAAGGCAGTCTTTTAAAAAGTGGCTGTGGTTTTAAAATAAAAAGTTAAAGTTTAAAATACCAAAAATAGGGACATCTGAGTGGCTCAGTTGGTTAAGCCACTGCCTTTGGCTCAGGTCATGATCCCAGAGTCCTGGGATTGAGTCCCATATCAGGCTTCCCCTGCTCTGCAAAGACCCTGCTTCTCCCTCTCCCTCTGACTGCCACTCTGCTCACTTGTGCTCTCTCTCTCTCTCTCTGTCAAATAAATAAATTAAATCTTTAAAAGAAAACCCTAAAATATTGGGGTGCCTGGGTGGCTCAGTCAATTAAGCGTCTGCCTTTGACCCAGGTCATGATTCCAGGGCTCTGGGATTGAGACCCATGTCAGGCTCCTTGCTTAGCAAGGAGTCTGCTTCTTCCTCTCCCTCTGCCCTTCCTCCTCCACTCATGGTATCTCTCACTTTCTCTCTCTCAAATAAATAAAATCTTTTAAAAAGTTCCCAAAATATTTAAAAATAACAAAATGAAATTGTCATCTGGTCATCCTTGAGATCACCGAAAAACAAGAAAATAAGAAAAATGAACACAAACTCCATCTTTTATAAGGTACCAAGTTAACCCTAAGACACAATTAGTGAAGATGGCCTACAAAATGGCCTACAAAGTTGAGTGAAAATTATACCAGAGTCCAAAGTATGTTGAGATTAAGTACCTGCTGTGACTTTAGTTCTCAATGTTGGCACAGCACTAAAGAGGTAGTACACCTGAGGAGGAGGTTGTAAATCACCTGATTTACATTGAAAGTTTAAGGGGCACAAGCTGTGGGAACTTTCAAGGACTCTGGCATCCCGAAGCAGCAGGACAAGGCAGTGCTGAGTGATAAATTCCTTTAAAATGTTATCTTTGTTGGAGGCAGTCTGTTAATGAAACAGGTTGAGGGAGAATATAATATGAGCATCTGCTGGGGAGATAATACTGGCTAAGCATGGTCTGTTTGTGTATTTTTGTCTCTAGTTTCTCCTTTTTACTCTTTCTTACACACGACACACATACCCACACACTTGGCCATAGCAGCCTCACTATTAGCACAATTCACTACTCCAGTTGCTTCCTGCAAATAGCTGGTCAAGAAAGAACACTTTTCATTCGATGATGAGTAATAACCAAAGGAAAATAAGATCTATACAGCAAGTCTACAAGACAAAGGAGGAAAGGAAATAAAAAGCTAATGTTATAAAGAGACATTTTCCAGAAAAATGTTGCCATGAAGCAGACCAAACATAATGCTGTGAATTCAAAGGACTTAATGAAACAGCTTAAAAAACAAGACCTCAAAGCAGAAGAATTGATGCTGAGACATCAGAAGGAAATGTAAAATAAGTTAGCAGAAAGGAAGAAAAGGAAAAAAATCCTAGAAATTAAAACCACATTATAAGTGGGGGCAGGGGAAGAAGGCAGATAAAGATGACAACACAGTTAGACTTAAAACAGGGATGGGTTAAGAAAAATAAGAAAATAGCAATGGAAAGTTAAAAAGAACTAAAAATAATTTGAGGCAAAATTATAGACACAGAAGACATGATATCCAGCATGTCTATATGAAGGAGAATAGAACAAGTGGAAATGAAAAAATATTCAAAGTATAATTCAAGGCAACTTCATGTAAGTGAAAAGACACTTTATAAATTGAAAGGACACAATGTGTCCCAAGAAAACGGATATAGAATGACCCTTGTGACCTATCCCATTGAATTTTACTAGACTTCAAAAATAAATAATCTTTTCAGCATTAAGGCAAAAAGATCAAGGCACCTTTAAAGGGAAATAAATCAGATTGACCTCAGATTTCTCCACAGCCACATCAATGGTAGATAATGGTGCAATACCAGCAAAGTCTTTGAGAAAGAAAGTGTGACTTGCCTGGATCCTAATTTGTTAATTTTTAAAGGGGATATGGATAATACTTGACTTATACCATAATTATGAAGGGGCCCAGGTTGGGCAGAGAGCTTTCCTAAAAAAATAAATAATAAATAAATAATAAAATTATAACATTATTATGAGGTAAAATGATATAATAATGAGTACAGATCACCTGTGATTTTAACGAGTGCTCAACAGTAGGTACTATTATTTTACATAGCTAAACTTGTTTCAAGTAAAAGGCATCAAATGTTTTTGAACATATAAGGATTAGAAAATAGAACTCCATTACTGTCTCTTAAAGAACTACCAGCGAATGGATTTTAGGTAACCAGCAGATGAACAAGAGAACCTGAATGTGGAAGCCCCCTGAAATGTAGGATTGGGATGAAAACAACTCTGGGAATCTACTTCATAATAATTAATAAAATATCTGATAATCACCAGATGCTTATTATAGGTCAGGCACTGTTCTAGTGCTATAATTTCATTATCATGAAAACAAACCTGTGAGGTAGAACCTATTGTTATATACATTGTAAAAACAAGGAAACAATTATCTATTAAGTAACTTGCTTAAGGTCACACACCTAAAAAATGATAAAGCCAAGATTTCAACCGAGGCAGTCTGGTTCCGAGGCTCACTCTCATAATAACTATTGTATATTATTGAGAATGTTAATATTATCTTTTTTAAAAGATTTTATTTGTCAGAGAGAGAGAGAGAGAGAACACACAAGCAGGGAGAGCAGCAGGTAGAAGGAGAAGCAGGCTCCCTGCTGAGCAGGGAGCTCGATGTGGGACTCCATCCCAGGACCCTGAGATCATGACCTAAGCTGAAGGCAGACACGTAATGGACTGAGCCACCCAGGTGTCCCAGAATGTTAATATTATAAACTACACCAGTAAAAGTAGTAAAATTAACAAAAACCAAGAAGAGAAGATGTAAAAAGATGAAAGTTGCCAAAAGGATTGATTTCTTTATCTTTAATATTCAAGGTCAAAAGATAATACACCTTACAAATCAAATAACAGAGACAGAAGTATATTCAAAAGTATACCAATGATCACTAGAAGAACAAATAATAATAATGTATTGATTAAAATTAGGTGGAGCAAAGGAGATGAGAATGGAATTATAATTTTGTCACTTCTTATAATAAGTAGATTTAAGAAATACAGGATAAAGTACATTTTTTAAAACCACAGCATAAAAAGCTAAACACTAGAAGAGCTAAATACAGAATACAAACCTTCCTGATTACCAGAAGGAACATGCATAAAATAAAGAAATATACACTATCCAGAGAAAGATACAAAACAAATGAATTTTTTTTTTTAAGATTTTGTTTATTTATTTGACAGAGAGACACAGCAAGAGAGGGAACATAAGCAGGAGGAACGGGAGAGGGAGAAGCAGGCTTCCTGAGCAGGGAGCCTGATGCGGGGCTCAATCCCAGGACCCTAGGATCATGACCTGAGCAGAAGTCAGTTGCTTAACTACTGAGCCACCCAGGTGCCCAAACCAAATGGATCCTTAAAAATGGAAAGTAGGTCATAAAATGTGCTCTAGAACTAAGTCATATCTATAAATGTCAGTGGGATAAGCTCATCTACTGAAAGAAAAATATCCTCAAAAAACAGAGTCAAAAAAGTTGAAAAAAAAAAGGACAGTACAGGTATATCAAACAAATGCAAGGAAAATACAATTAAGTCACAATCTTACATCAGAAGAGGTTGAAGTCAGAGGTGGAGAAAGCATTAAATAAGGTTTTAAAAAAAGCCCTCCTTATAATGTTAAAACATACAATCCACAACAAAGATATTACATTCATGAGTTTCTATAAAGCAAATAAAGTAGAATTAAAATTTATTAAGCAAAATCTATAAGAAATAGAAGAAATAAACAGAAAGGCATTAGAGTAGGAGACCCTAGTTCACTTTTCGTAGTCCATGACAGATCAAAAAGTCTATGAAAAAAGCATATAGAAGAACTACAAAACCTGACTAATAGAGTAGATTTATATGCCTTGACAATAGACTTTTCAAATGTCCATGGAACACTTTACAAAATTAGACCAAAGCCTTAATACATTCCACTTAGTAGAAACGGCAGAAACAGTATTCTCCAAACAAAACACGATAAAACTTGAGGGGCGCCTGGGTGGCTCAGTGGGTCAAGCCTCTGCCTTCAGCTCAGGTCATGATCTCAGGGTCCTGGAATCGAGCCCTGAATTGGGCTCTCTGCTCAGCAGGGAGCCTGCTTCCTCCTCTCTCTCTGCCTGCCTCTCTGCCTACTTGTGATCTCCCTCTGTGTCAAATAAATAAATAAAATCTTAAAAAAAAAAAACCCAATATGATAAAACTTGGAATTAACAAAACATCTATCGATACATAATTAAATGTTCTTTTAATTCTTGAAAGTCAAAGAGAAAGTTCAAATTGAAATGTTCAGTATCTAGGAAATAACAATAACAGAAACTGAAAATAAGATTAATGATAAAATCAAAGAACCACTTAAAGAAAACTATTTTAATTATGTTCATAAACAGCAAAGAACAAAACAAATGAATTACAAATTCAAGAAATTAGAAAAAAAAATTAATCCAAAGAAAGCAGAAAGAAGGAATTAACCAATATGAAATAATAATATAAGGTTATGGTATGTTCCTGTAGTTGCAAGAATTCCTCTGACCTTCATCTCCCAATCTTTGCTTTAGATCTCTTGCTCTTTTGGTTTTTGCAATTACCTTTTGATGGCTCTTCTCCAGAATTCTCCTTTTCTGTTTGGTTCCCTCAGTCTGATGACATAAGGC